CTTCAGCCTATGCCGTCGCCGGCAACTCACGGCAGCCCAGCTCCAGGTTGAGCTGTTGTTCAGCATCTTAGCTGTGGAGGGCGGTGTCACTGGCCCTCATATGTGGGATCCGAACCAGGGCCCTCTGGCATCCCAAGCCAGTTCTTAACCATCGCACCACTCGGCCAGCCCTATAGCTTGTAATTTTTTTTACTACAAACTTAACAAGTATGTTTTCATGTCAATTTAATATCTATTTTATCATTTTAAGTAGCAGCAGAGCACTGTATTATGAGGATGTGCCATAGGAGGTTTAACCAATCTCCTATTGTTAGGATATTTTCTTGTGTTAATTAGATTTATTGAGGTATGATTGATAGAGAAACAACTGTACATATTTAAAGTATACATTTTGATAAGCTTTGAAATATGTATATACACCCATGAAACCCATCACCAGAATCAAGATTATTGGTATATCTGTCCTCCCCAGAAGTTCCTTTGTGTCTTTTTATAATTCTTCCTTCTCTTCACATACTGTACCATCTCCAGGCAAACACTAATCTTCTTTCTAGGGAATGGGGAGAAAATATTTGCAAACCATATATCTGATAAAAGGTTAATGTCCAAAATATATAAAGAACCATACAACTCAACAGCAAAAACCAAAATAACTGGATTAAAAAATGAGCAAAGGACGTGAATGGATATTTCACCCAAGAACATATATACATTGCCAACAGGTATATGAAAAGTTGCTCAACACCAGTAAACGTAAGGGAAATGCAAATCAAAACCATAATGAGATATCACCTGTTAACATGGCTATTATCAAAAAGACAAAAGATAAGTATTGGTGAGAATGTGGAAAAAAGGGAATCCTTGTACACTGTTGGTGAGAATGTAATTTAGTACAACTATTATGCAAAACAGCATGTAGGTTTCTCAAAAAGTTAAAAATAGAATTATCATATTATCTAGCAATCCCATTTCTTGGTATGTATCCAAAGGAGATAAAACCAATATCTCGGAGAGATATATGCACGTCCATCTTCATTACAGCATTATTCACAATAGCCAAATTATGGAAACAACCTAAGTGTCAGATAAATAGATAAAGAAAATGTGATATATACACAATGGAAATTATTCAGCCTTAAAAAAAGAAGTAAATCCTGCCATCTGCAACAACGTGGATGAGTCTGGAGGACATTGGTGTCTTTTGAAATCTTTATTTGTTTGTTTGTTTATTTGATTGAGTTTTGAGAGATCTTCATATATCCTGAATACAAGTCTTTTATGATATATATGATTTGCAGTATTTTCTCCCAGTGTGTGTCTTGACTTGCCATTTTCTTAGTACTTTTTGAAGAGTGGATGTTTTTTATTTTAATGAAGTCCAATTCTTTCCTTCTGGTTTTTATGTTATTTTTGTCAAGGATTTTACTTTTGTGTATAGCATAAACTTCATATTACTCTATCATTTTTGTTTAAGCAGTCAATTATCTTTTAAGGAGATTTAAATAATAAGAAAAGTCATGTATACTTACCTATAACATTACCATTTTGGGTGCTTTTGATTCCTTTGTGTAGATCCGTATCTCCATCTGGTATCATTTCTTCTACCTGAAAAAAAAAAATGTCCTTTCATAATAGTTGTAGCGTGAATCTGATGTAATGAATCAGCTCTGCTTTTGTATGTCTGAAAAAAATCTTCATCTCATTTTTGGTTTTCAAAAATATTTTCAAGAGGCATAAAATTCTAGGTTAACAGTTTCTTCAAAGATGTTGCTCCACCATCTTTTTGCTTGCATTATTTATGGTAATAAATCTACTTTTATTCTTATGTTGCTTCTCTGTATGTGACATGTCTTTTTGTCTCTGACCACTTTTAAGGCGTTCTCTGTAACACTGATTTTGAGAAATTTAGTGATAATAAGTCCGGGTATGCCTTATATGCCTCCTACCCTCCTTGCCCAGTGGCTACCCAAAGCTTATACTTTTCATGGTGAATGGCCAGAATATAGAAAAAGCAAGTCAACCATGCAAGCACATTTCAAGCCTTTGCTTACATTACATCTGCTAACATCCATTGGCCAAAGCATGACACATGGTCACCCGAAAGTCAAGAGATAAGGAAGTAAACTCCATCTATCATGAGGCCATGGCAAGGCGTAAGGATTTATGTTCAAGGTGTACACCTATACTGTAAGCAGTCCAGTACTTTAATTATAAATTGAGATGTCTCTAGTAGAAGACACCTCATGAAATAATAGCAAGAAGATTGTTATAATTGGCAATATTTTCCCCCACTATGGTTTTCATATCTAGTCCTTTTTTTTTTTTTTTTTAATGGGCACATTCCAGGTCACCCCTTCCAGACTTTTGATGGTAAAACAAAAGCTTAGGAATGTTAAGACCACATCAGATCTACTCTGATGGTGATGCAGGTATAAGGAATTAGAAAAGATTTGTTTTCTTTTGTTATGTAAAAGTAATTTCATGTCACTGTGCTGTATCATGTAATGAGAGATTTATGAGTGTTTCTCTGCCCTTTTATAAAGGAACACTACATAAACAAACAACCTCTTTTTGCTCTTTGTGTAAGTCTATCAAATTACTCTTTGATATGAGTGCCTTAAGGGATAACTCTCAAGATTAAAGGAACAAAACCAAATAAACATTGAGCCTGAAGGAGTCAGCTATGCATTTTGAAGGCAGTGAAACTGGTATTGTGGATATTTGATGACAGTAATTTTATGCAGATACACATCATTACTAATAGAAATTAAGAACATTAGCTTCCATTTCCATTTTGAGTATCTTCTATATATTATATACAGTGCATTTATTATCTTTATTACTCATGGTAATCTTACTAGGTATTATTCTCATTGTATGCATGAGGACATGAAGGCTCAAGGAAGATGAATTAATTGCCCAGGGAGAGACAATGAGCAATTGGCAAAATTGGGGTGCACACCCAAATTTATCTCCATCAAAGACTCAGTAACCCCTTTATAGTCTAGTGCCTCTTTTCCTCCATGATCTCTCAATTCCCATTTGAGCTCTCTTAAGGGGATTCATTAGGCTCATAAGGGACTAATGGATGTATTTGTGCAGCTTAAATTTTTACGGAGGATTTGGAGAACATGGAGAATTCCTCTGCACATTCTCAGGGCCTGCTATTGAGAGATGTGGGACCGGATCTCAGTGGCAGCTTGGAAGAGTGCTGGAATCAGAGGTATCTGACTGCAGTCCTGCCTCCCTGCACTGGAGGTGAGGCACCCAGGACAACAGAGAGCCACTTTTAGCTCAGTCTCCTCATCCCCAGATTGGGCAATGATGCCATCTGCCCCTCATTTTTTGCAAAGATTGGACAAGGCAGATAAAACGCAGTTAGGAAAATATTAAAGTAATTCTTTCAAGGCAGTGATAGTGTTGTCATCATTAGTCTCCAACAAAGTGCATTAACATGGGTTAATGTTCAGTGTACAAAGTCCTCAGAGCAGTGCTTAGCACGTTCTAAGTGTCATACAAGTCTTCACAGTATTAAAAATATGATTTGTACCAATATAAAAGGTGGTGAAAAACAAACTTTGAATAGAGGCCAAGGGAATCAGTTAACAGTTTTGTGATTGTAGTTATTAAAGAAAGCAGGATATCAGGAGTCTTATTCCTGTAAGATTTAAAAAATTTAAATGAGGAGTAATCATGCTGCAAAACAGATAACTCGAGACCAATATTATGACTTATACGCAGATTTCCTTATACAGTAAGTATGAGTATACTAAAAAAGTATTATCTGTTATGCTCCCAAGCTTTCCATACATTTTTAAGTTTAAAAATTCTGGCTTATGACTAATATTAAGAACTGTTCTTTAAAATTTTTCTCTAAACATGGGTTCTTACATAATACTTCATCCATCAGTGTGACCTTTTAGTTTTTAAACAACAGGTGGTCAAAATTGAAGCTTATATCAAATACCAAACACATGTAACTTGATTTGTATGAAAACTGACCCCAGTTCTCCTCACTGGGGTATAGTTTATGGGGACTTTATTTCAGCTCTGACTCTTACTGCGTGACTTGAGCCTGGGTTAGGCCCACAGTGTTTTTCTTATATCACAATACCATAAAAAATGAACAAATTGTTAAAGTTTAGATTATAATTTTTTTTTGCTAGTATCATAGCAGGACTTTCATTCTGTTTTATTTGACTAACGTTCTTTCTAATCCAAGAATGTTATTGGGGTAGGAGCTCATTTTGTAGTGAATGTTGGGAAACACAGTTCTCTTTCTCTTCCTCTCTCCCTCCCTTGTACTCTCCTTCCCTCATGCACACAATTGAGACAAACAGTATATAGATGAAGAATGGATTATATGATAACGAAATTCAGGGATAGAGCACCTCTGAGGGGATGAGGCAGGTGGGATGTGGTCACAATAGACAATGATTCCTTCATTTTTAGATTTAGCTTCACAGGGGACATCACAACAGTGGGTCACTGTAATGGGTCCAGGCATTGGCCCATTTTATCCATCTGATCATCTGTAATCCTTGAGCTCAGATTTCTGAACTAGCAGAGAAGGAGATTCCTCAGGTCTTGATGGCATCAGGATATATCTCAGACATTGTTGGCTGGACTTGGAGCTGGACAAAGGACGGGAACTGAAACCTGGGCCATGTTCCTGGGTGTCTTAGGTTGTACTTGGCTGGAGTTAGTATGTCCCCTCATCATATTTAGTTAGTGACGTTGGGAGCACATGGATGAGCCACCTAAATGATAAACTATGGATGCCTGCTTTGTGGATATTGACTTTCATTAGAGGATTATGCATGGATTATATCATGAAGTCTTAATCAGATTTGAGATCATAAGTATTTGTTTTGTTCTGTTTTAACAGAATGAAGTCCCTGAGGTAAAGAAGGAGGAGACTTTGTTGGATCTGGACTTTGACCCTTTCAAGCCTGAGGTGGCCGCCGCAGGTTCTGCTGGAGTGACCCACTCACCCATGTCTCAGGTATCAGGTGGTTTTTATGTTTTTGAGGATGATACTTGGTAAATTTTAATAAGCTCAGTAAGGCAACAGATGCATTTCGGCAACCCCTCTCCATTTCAAATGACTATCTACTTTTCATTTTGTTTGGCAGATATTTCCTAGTGGGAGGGAAAGGTAGCAAGAGGACCTTATCACAGTGAATTATTCTAAAGCTCTCCCTACCATTAGCTTTCTCTATCCGCAGAGCTGGAATAAACGTACATTTCAGTTTGCCCAGAAATCATCCATCTTAGAGTGCTTATTCATAGTACCCCCGTCTTGCACTCAAAAGTACCCAGGTTTAAATGATACATTTTATGAGTCCTCTAAATAAAGCTCTTTCTTTTTGCCTTGGGTTTAATCTTCTTACTGTTTTCTCTATTTTCCTTCCTCATACTTTGCAAATTAAGGCATGTTTGAAATAACCATGAGATTATACCCCAGGAGAAATGTTTTTCAGTATTGATAGTTTTAAACTTGATGTTCTCCTCCACACTGCAGACACTTCCTTATTTGATCTTGATTATGCCTCGATGCAGAGTTGGCCTTGCTTATCCAGACGCATCCTTGCTCATCAGTCCCTCACTCCCAACATTTCTCCCATTTCAGCAGTTACTGTGATAGCTTTCTCCATCAGAGGAATGCTGATGGTGGATGCTCTAAGGACCTGTGGATGAGTCCTCTGCAATATAGTTAACTTACAATTGTCTGTGTTTGTGCAAAGAAGTTAACTCAAAATTTGGCTAAACAGAAATCGTTTGTATCAGTATTTTTTATGTGGTTGGTGCCTTGTCATTTAAATTTAGGCAAATGCAAAGATGCTAGACTATACATCAAATTAATGAATGAAGGTTTATTGTAAAACTCTTCTTAGGAATTGAGACCCAGCTCAAATTTCTGGTCTTTAAACCTTCTTGATGCCTTACAAAAAGCCACTGGGGAACAAACAGAGCAATGTGAACCTCAATAAATAAAGCTTCCCCCTAATTCATGCTTTGTTCCAGATGATTGGTTTTCTAAGGGCCTCCCTGTTGTAATATAGGAACAATAAAAATCTGAGATGTCAATAAAGCAGAAAATTAAGTAGATCAAAGGCATTTTACAAAAAAATGAGGATCTTAGATGAGTGTTTCAGAAATGTCTATTAATTCCCTTTTAGTAGATTCATCATGTACATTAGCCTATTAAAGGCTCAAAGAAGTCCTGCAACTAAAAGAAAAACCTGTTTAGATTTGCTTAACTTAGACTTTCTCAAATTTATTTGACTACACAAATCGCTTGTAACAAAACTTTCTTTTTTTTAAAATTATTTTTTATTGTGAAATACACATTTTTTAGAATTGTAACGGAACTTTCTTAACATTCAATTGGAATGTTCTCTAAAACATACTTTGGGAAGTGCTAATGTAGTAATTGTCAGCAGGTTGGAGGGTTCTGCCTTGGTGGCCAAGAAAAGCAGAAAATGGATATACATTTCATTCCGGATACTCTCTTCTCAGCGCTGTCCGATCGACAGCCTGCAGAAGGCGGGACTTTCCCCGCCTTACTCGCCAGCGTTCATTACTGTAGGGGCAGAAGCGAGTTGTGCAGTGGAGCCCGTGGTGACCCGTGGGTGGGACTCCATGGCATTTCTGTCTGCATGTTTGACTCAAGAGAGAAACCTCTTTTATATCAATTCACGATTAAACTGATCCATAAATCACGGAACTTTGTGCGGATTTAGGACTGACAGTCTTTCAGAATTTAAAAAAAAAAAAAAGGTAACCTTGGTTAAGTCTTGAAAAGTCTTGGTTCTGAAGAAAACCGTCACTGCAGTTAGGGCGAGCTGCGTGCGGCCCTGTGTTCTTCCGTGGGCCAGGCAATCAACTGCCTGGCTTCCCAGTGGCCGTAATTGAGTCACCTCACTGCGGAGTTGGACTGTGATCCAGCTCTAATCACTTCCTTCTCTTGTGCTAAGAAGAAGTCTGAGGCTGAAAGAACAAAAAGAACAGAGCCATTTGATTCGCTGGCCTCTGCCGCTTCACTCAGAGCCGTCTCCCTCACCCATCACCTGATCTGGTGTTTTAAATTGATTGATGTTCTTGCTACTAGCAGAACACCTCACCTTGTGATCTCTGCAGCGTGCACACGAACTAACACATCCTTTCATGAGCCTGAGGATCAATAAACACAACGCTTCCCATCGCTGCCTTCCTTTGGAGAAAATACTGCTGCTGTCTGCAATATGTGGGTGTGTGTCTGCTTTTGGGAGCTGTGATTCTTACTGGGCTGTGAAGCAAGAAAACATAAACTATCTGGATAATCAGAAAATACATATTAGAGGCACAGGAGTCCAAGTACAAATAACTGACTTTCAGTGGAGCTGTTTTGCGCTCCTTTCAGTCATTCTACACGTGCGTGCGTAGGAACCCAAGACCAGCTAGGTTGCACAGAGATGTGGTGGGTGGGGCAGCGCAGCTGGAGCAGACCCAGACCATGGCAATTTCGGTCAGAACCACGGGGCCCACGCTTTGTAGTACAGAATCCAAGCGAGACATCTGTGGGCCCATCTGGAAACTGTCCTAGTCTTCAGATGGGAGTGCCAGGCTCTCCAATTTGCTGTTCACATTAAGTGATTCTAAACAAGTACATAAACATGGATCAGTTCTAGTCACAACGATACCGACAGAAAAGACTGTGGCTTAGCAGTGATCCTCAGAGGCAGAAGAAAGCAATGTGTCCACACTCGGGAGAAGTCATTTTTGAACCATCTGGATTCATTCCCCAGGATCAATAGTCTTTATAATTAAAATGCTAGTAGTAAGCATAAGTCATCCATATGTCTTAGAGGGCACCCTACTAATTTCCATGATTGCCAGTTAATTGAGCTGTGTGTTATCTAATTCAATATATTGAAGAATTGCTTTTCTGGGGTTCATTTACTGTTGAACTGGTCATAATGCATTCTCTGCAATTTGGTTTGGGGAAGAGAGGAAATAACACTCGCAATGATTAGAATCTACATTTCCTCAAAGATTGATAAATTCTAATATCGGGACACCTTGTTTACTTTAAGTGTGTGTGTATGTGTGTGTGTGTGTGTGTATTAAAATAAACCCATTTATGATGATTCAGATAGATTTTTCCACTTTTATAGCAAAAGGCACATTGGTTAGACCTGTGCTATCCAATATGGTAGCCACTAACCACAATTAGATATTTAAATTTAAATTTAATAAAGTTATGTAAAATGAAAAATTTGATTCTCTTACACCAGCACATTTCAAGTTCTCAATAGCCACAAGTGTCTAGTGGCTACCATATTAGACAGCACAGCTAAGGAACATTTTTATCACCAAAGAAATTATATGGAACAGTGCTATACTAAATGTTTCAAAATGTTTATGATTTTATTTCAAGAGCTTTTATCATCTCAGTATTCTTAAATGCTAGGGATTTATGTACTAACAGTATTTTTGTCTGTTTGCTTTTAGACATTGCCCTGGGACCTATGGACGGTAAGAATACTAAGAACTCTGTATTTTGATGTGTCTACATCCCTAGAAATTTTTAAACTTTGTTATATTTTACTTCATCTGTGATAGAAAGAAGACCTGAACATCTTTTATAATAATGTAGTCCTCTAGAATAATCATCAGCTCCCTGATGGTTCCAAGTATCACCAGCACTTGGAAGCAGTGGAGTGTCAGTGTTCCAGACTCCTGGATATACAAGAGTCTGGCGCTGTGCCCCTTGATGCTGCCTCTTGTGATTATCGGTGGCTAGAGGAAATGTAGTGAACAACATGCACATGTGTTATTGCTTTTAAAAAGAATACAAGAAAAGCATGGATGAGAAAATGTAAGGAATGGGCCAATCTGCACAGGGAACCTTTTTTCAGTATTATTATTTTCAATGAAGCTTAATAAGAATTTGAGCTTTAGAGCCTAACAGCCCTGGATTTGAGTCCAGACTCCGCTTCTTATAACAATATGACTTTAAGCAAGTTCTAAAACTCTTTAAGTCTCAGTTTTTCTCATCTATAAAATAAGAGTAGTGACACTACTGCAGAGGGTTGTGTGATGATGTAGTGTGATAATTTTGTAGAGTAGCTCAGTGCCTGGTATATATGAATAAAAGGTAGATATTACTACTACTGTGATTTACTCAGCTAATCAGATATGCAAAGATGAGCACTTCCAGAATTTAGAGTTAGGAAAAAGACACAGACAGAGCTTTGTGGTATCAGCAGTGTGCTATGAAATCAGGAGACTGGCTGCATCCACACAGCCTCACAGCAGTTTGGGAAGGTCCTTTGTATACCCCGTCTTAGGACAGTCTTGGTCACATGGTTTTCAGTCAACTTGAGTTGCATGTTTTCTTTTTTAGTGAGACAGCAACAGAAAAGTTTGGTAGATCTAGGTGTTCACAAGTCTGTGGTCTTCTGAAGTGATATTGCTACTTCCTTTCCTTTAAGTAAAAAAGATGGCTGTCTCCTTCCCTGCCACAGGAGCAGGTTTATACTGCATAGCACAGGGTCCTTGAAGCATCATGGAACGCTCTCAAGAGAAGAGCTAAAACATATTGATTGAAAACATTTTTTATAGTGAGCTGGTTTGATTTGTGTTATTTGCAAAAAAGGGGTGCATGGATTAACATTCAGGCCATATGATTTCTAGCCTCAATTTTGAGTTAATTTTTTTGGAGATTAAGAGGACAGTGCTAATTTTTGTTATTCCAGTATTTCATATCTTTAGTTGGAGCTATACCACATTTTTCCTTCCCTCACTGGGAAGGGTGTGGTGAGGGTGGAGGTACCATCTATAAGTAACATTGAATATTTTAGAAGACAGATCTGCTAGGAATGGTAACAATGACAAGATTACAAAACAATAGCTCTCTGGACATAATAACAGCTACCCAGTGTTCTTTCTTTGTCCAGGCAAAGCTTCTAGCCTGGGGAGTATTGGAAAGAAGCTGAGGAGAATCCTCCAGGTAGTCAGGGTGGTTAGTATCAGATCATCCTCCATCCAAAAACCATGTCAGAGGGAGAACCAAGCTCAGGCTGAGTTTAGGGAAGATTTTACTGATGCTGTCAGAGCAGATGATGCTGTGTAAGTTTGCGACTTCTAGTGCTTAATGTTCTCCTCATGTTAGCAGGCTTGCTTATTTATTTGAACTGAATTTCAGTCAGCTGAAGCAGAAGCCATAAAACGTTCTTGTCGATACTAGAAAATGACAGAGGCTTTCTTTATGTTTCAATTGTGTAGTCTTAAACAGTATTGGAACAAAACTCATTCCTATCACAAACAAGTTGTAAAATTTAATCCCAGACCAGTGAAAGCCACAACCTTTAGCAGAATGTTGACTCTGGACACATGGGATTTGAATATGCTAGTGAATTTTCTTCTCTTGCCTTATGATTTTTATTATTTATTTATTTTACTCCTACAGACAAGCACTGATTTGGCCCAGCCGGTAAGTAAATATCCAGAAAATTCTGGATTTTTTTTGGTATTTAATATGTATTATATACATGATATATTATCTAAAATGAGCTTTTCTTTCTCTCTCATGGCATTGTGTGTCACAGATTTAACCTTAAGCTATTCGATTGAAATGCTCTCTAGTTTTGTTTAACTGATGCTACTCAACTGTGGAGCCTTGTGTTTCTCATCAACTCTCACCATGATCTATTTCATCTTGTGTTTGTTTGTTTTTTTTTTCTTTTGCTATTCTGCATACTCTAAAGACTGACTCTTCAAAAAGTCTTTCCCTGTGTAACCTGATCATGGAGGAAACTCCAGACAGTGGGTTGGCTGAAGAAATTCAAAGATCTCAGATTGACCTAGGTGCATTTATTTGGGGCCCTGATGCTAGTACAGACAGTGTCAGCCAGGAAGTTACCCACAGTGGGTCTCAGGAAGACTCTGCATGTCTCTCTGAAGCAGAGCAAGACGTGGGACTGTCCACTGGGATGCTTCCTTCTGCTGATGGGCCAACTGTAGTCGAGCAGGGTGATCGTCTCCTGGGGCCCACCCCTCCATGGGGAAATGAACACCTGTCCCCAAAGCCTGTGCCTCAGGCTGAACTTGCCAGTGCGGCTTGTATGGAGATGGAGCTGCCTTATGGCTTACCCGATTCAGAGATGCCAGCCATGGAAAGTGGTGGCCTGGTCAAAGAAAGTCAAGAAGATGTTAAAAAGTCAGAAGAAGAGGAAGAGAAACAGAAGGCGGAAGATTCGCTGTGGGCAGGTGTGGAGACATGTGAAAAGGTAGACACTGGAGCTATTGATATCAAGACACTAGAAGGTACAGAGGAATTAGAAGAGGTAGTGTGTGAAGGTACAGGAAACAAGGTAGGCGATCTTAAGGCAATAGGAAAGCAAGACCAGGAGACCTTAAAAACCAATGAAGAAGAAACTAGGAAAGGTCTAAGAGTTAGGTGTAAGGAAAACCTAAAGACCGATGAAAAGTATTTCAAGATAAGGGGCCTATTTGAAAAAGACATGGAAAGAGTAGATACAGCAGATGAGTGACAGAGACTACAGGCTAGATGAGGGGATTCAAGTAATAATCAATAATTGTGAAATTGTAGAGGGCTTTGGAGCTAAACCTGGCAATCACACAGATATTTTGAATCAGCCTCTCCAGACAGACTCTGTTTCTAATATTGAAGATGCCAGCCCTGAGGGAATGAGATTTAACTAGAAAAGACATTAAAAAATTCTTAATCGATCCTCCAAACTGCGATATAATATATCACAAAGCACAGGACAGTGTAGATGATGAAGAGATTTGGTATAAGGCTGTGTTACATGCTCGTGGAGGTGTCAAGGATGAAAATCAGCCTGTTGTTTTATCAATAGAACACGAAGTAGTAGATGAGTCTAGGACAGATCTTAATCATTCTCTGGAAATGAGTGCAAACAGAAGAGACTGGTGTTTGTGTAAGGCAGAAGATTCATTATTAGAGGGGTCTGAGAGTACAATGACTGGGAATTGTATAACTTGCCAGGAATTGCAGAAACAGACTTTGGGGAACAGATCCAGGTCAAATCTTACAGCCAAGCTTGGATTCAGCAATGAATGATAGGGATATATTGGAATTCTCTGGTATACCAGATGGACAAGCAAGTGGATTTGCCAGTTGGCTTGAATCTGTTAACCACTGGCCTATCAGAGATATAGGAGGCGTATTTAGATAATTGCTGGGAACATTTAGATATAGTTATGAGCAAGAAAGGGCTGGAGGTGGACTTACTGGCAGATGTATGTGAGGAACAAGCCATTGATAGTTGCTTGGAAGAAAGCCAGGAGGCAGTTAAACTATTCGTTCTGGGAACCTCCCAGAATCCTAGCACCAAGAACTCTGCTAGTCCCCAAGACAATGGCATCAACAACTCAGATTTATCTGAAGATGAACTTGCTAACCAGAGATATGGATTGTTGTACCAAGAAATAGAGGCTGGTAAAGAAGAGGTACTTACCCCGTATGTAGTATATACTAGCCAAAAACGTCTATAGGTTCTGTCTTTCCTCATGTTTCCTACCCACTTCATTATCCATCACTATCTTCTCTGAGGCCTGCCTCATGTCCTTGACAGATTGTCATTCCTGTACCTCTTACCTCTTGAAATCTGTGCAAATCAAACACAAATAGGTTGACAAAAAAACAACAACAGAAAAACAAAGAAACAAATAAAACCACACACACACACACACACACACACACACACACACACACACACACAGAGGATAATGCTTATTTACATTGGAACTAATGAGAGTCTATTTTACCATCCATTTACTGTGTTCATTTTTCCTATTTTCATTTTTACTTTTCAAGTACTAAATATATGTAGAACAAACTGATTCACTGTTCCTAAGTAGTTACCCCAATAAGAGCATGTGACATGTTTCTACCCAGGCCCACTGAAACTGTAGAATCTCATAATGGGTGTTCATAAAAAAATCTAACGTTGTGTTAGAAATGCTGGAAATGCTTCTTCTAGATTCTATCAATGGCCTGAAGAAAAGAGCTATTTCTCCGGAAATATCTCATTATCAAAAAAGTGGGTTTTGGTTAGCACTGGGCCACTCATCAGCAGTAATTGTAAAAATAGTCTGTGTTATTTTTTTGTCAGCCTATTTAAAATAATACAGTATGGCCTTTTGCATTTCCTAAGCACTTTCATGCACAGCACCTTTTTGTATTATTTAAAAATGTGTGGTAGTCTTTACTTCCCAACCTGTCTAATGAACTTCACTGATCCTACAAAAATTGGTAATAATAATAATAATAATAATAATGTACTTTGATTTCCATTTCTATTTAGGCTTCTGGTGGTTCATTTAATGGATTCACTCAGGTAAGAAATCAATTTACTGACAAAATCCATCTGTTGAGAATGATGCAAATTTTTAAAATAAGGATCTCTGTGTCACTGCTATAGCTTAATGATTAAGTGTGTCAACACAAAACTTCACTACTTAGAAATTCAGTAGTGGAGACAGCAATAGTATCGACATTATAGGGTTGTTGTGAACATTAATGAGGTATGTCCAGCAGCACATACTATGTCCTCCATGACTCTAGTTAGTTATTGTTAATATTATTGGCTGTGCCGTAGGCTTCTGCTTCTGCTGATTCCTCAACTGGAATCTCGCAGCTGTCCTGCTCTGAGAGATCCACTAGATTCAGCTGTTGGAAAAGAGGAGATAGGATTGTTTTGAACTAATGAAACTGGTCTTTAGAAAATATGAGATGTTTTAGAAGCATTTTTCTAAAGATTCAGATAAGAGCCGTATTATACAAAACCTCCCCTCTTCAGTGGTTCTCCAGAAAAGAGCCATTGGAAGATCAGAAATCAGGCTGGTTCTAGCCAATAAGGCAGTATGTTCCTTGTAAGTCTCTGGAAGAGGAGCCGCAAGATGGACTGTCCCGTTCATTGTATGTGTCCCAACAGATGGAATTTGTAACCCAGGTAAAAGGCAGACCACATGTCTACAAATTCGCAGACTAAGTTCTAAAAAGCCTCTGGAAGGGAGGTTTCCAATGAAAGCTTTACTGTGATGAATGCTTTGTCTTAGAATATTAGACATGAACAATTTAAAATTTTAACATTTAGAATTTCTCAGTTGAAAAGTTTGATTACTTTCCCTCATGTTACCTATAAAAAAAGATAAAACCCACTCACACATCCACACCCAAATACAGATACACACAAACAGAAAGATGGTAATGCATCTTTTCCATCTGCTTAAAACGCTTTTTAAAATTTGGGTCATAAGCATTGTTATTCACTTCTCATTTCTAAAATTTGTATTTCTATTGGTTATAAATGCACAAAATTAAAGAGTACAAAATTTTGTAAGGGTGTTTTATTTAGAAACTTCAGACCATCACATACCCGCTCCATTTCCTGTTTTTGAGAGGTGAATACTTGCACTTCTTTTAACAGATTCTCTGGTTTCACCTCCACATGTGTGCATGACTTTCTTATAATACTACTTTTTGATTTCTGAAGCAACATCTACTGACTCATCTCTCGGGAAGGTGTGAGGACTTAAAGCACTTTCAACCCTACCTTCACGGTGTACCCCGTCTTCTGCTTCCTGCCTTTCTCACATAGTTCCGCCATAGCCATCCCACCAGTCTGTGGTAATGTTATGGCGATGACATAAGTGCTATCAGTGCCCAAGACGTGAAGTTTGTATTTCCTTTTATGCCAACGTTTTGTTTTCCTTTGAGGAAATAATTGTAGGGTCTTGTTTGTTAGTTGGTTTGCTTAGTTTTCCAGGTACTTATCACTAATTCAACCCCATACTCTGTAGCTATATAAATTTCCCCTCAGTTTGTTGGAAAACAAATATGTAATCGGCTTCATCTTGAAGAACTTGGCTGTCTGTCCTTTGAGACTGCTCCCGTCTAAACTGGGAACTCTGTAACTACGGCATAACTGGTACCACAGGCTCTCCCATGAAGTCTGTCCTGGGGATTGCCTTCATCTCTCTCTCATGTCACTTGCTCTTTTCTGGACATAAATATTCCTTACTTATAGTATAATCCCACAAATTAAAATGCATCTTCCCCCAAAATTAAAGCACGTCGTTTAGTAGCTTCCTGAGAAAAGTGTGTGTTATACACATCTGAAAATGTCTTTATCTATATACATGATGGACTGTTAGTTTCAATATTATATTAGAAGTTGTAAATTGTTTCCCTTAGAGTTTTGAAGACATTGCTCCACTTAATTCTACCTCCTAGTGTTGCTACTGAGAAACTGTAATTTTGATTCTTCCTATTTTGTGAGAATTTTTTTTCTCTTTTGTTTTGCCCCTGATATACCATTCTATTTCTCTCTCTCTCTCTCGAAGTTTGTAAAATTTTATTTTTTTCCCAGTGTTTCTGAAATTTTACAGTGATGTAGTATGGCCTGAGTTTATTTTCATACATTCATACTTTTAATATAAAAATTGTTTTTCAGTTGGAGTTTTTGTTTTTATTTCACTGATGATTTCTCTTTTGTTTTCTTTGTTCTCTCATCCTGTAACAGTTTTCTTTTTCATATGTTGACTTCCTGAGCCTCTAATAATTTTTTTTCTTTGCTATTCCCTTTTCTCTGTCATCTTTCTCTGGTTTCCAACTCTTTTAAAAGGTTTTTCACTTCTCTCTATATATTTTTTAATTTCCAAGAGCTCTTTTTGTTTACTGAATATTTGTTTTTAATAGCATCTTCTTTTTATGTCATGTATATGACATCTATTGTATCTCTGAGTGTATTAATAATAATTTTTGAAAATTTTTTTCCTTGATAAGTCTTTGTTTTTTTGTCCGTTTTTATTTTTTACTGTTTGGTTTCTTTTTTTTTGATATTTGAGGCTTCTTAAATGTCTGGTGATCTTGACTGTCAGTGAGACACTAAAAAACTGACAGGAAACTTCTGGAGGCAGGTTGAGCTCATTGACTACGGGCATTGTTCTAGGATTTCCTGGCTCATTTTTCATAGACCCTGATGTCAGATTCTTTAGGCATTTTTCTTTTCCTGAGCTGGTCAAATTTAACTGGGAAGACTTTTTTGGTTGCCTGTCTGAGGTGTACAAACCTGGCTGCCAGTGTAATGGGAGGTGAATGGGGAAGAAGTAAGAGGTTGGAAAGAGAGGGACCCATGTTCTCAATATTTATTTTGTAAATGATCACTTAATCCTGCTACATTCCTAAGATGCCTGTATGTCCCCCAGTCCAGAGACCCTCCGCTTCAGACTTTATGGAAATAATCTCAAGTCTTGTGCTAGGGTGGGAAGGGATATTGCTTGGTTTTTAGATAGATGAGAATACCTCTATCTAATTACTTTTTAATAGGTCTAATTACTTTTTAATAGACTTTCAACCAGTTCCCTGTCTTTAGCACAACCCTAACTTCCATTTCCCGTGGTTCCCATGTTTCTAATTCTTGATCCATTAGGAGTTCTGAGTAATAAAATTGTGTTGCTTTTTAGCATTTCTTATATACTCTTAGAATGCAGATATTTTTTGATCTAGCAAGTTACTTATTGCTCATTCGTCTGCCTTTTTTTTTAGCTGAGCCATCCTGCCACCTGTTGGCAGCTCAGCGACAGCTCAGCTCGGCCTAGGAATCGAACCGGCGACCCTGTTGCTCAGAGATTGCACTCTTGAGCGAGCTTTTAGCCAACTGAGTTACTCGACCAGCCCATTATCTGCTTTTCAGTTTCAGAATTTTGGTGCTCTTATTTTTCTTCTTCTTCTTTTTTTTTTTTACGTTTATGGGCTTATGTCGTTAACAGTTTGCTTTATAAAATTCCCTTTATTGTTGTTTAGTTTGAATTCTGGAGGTTACAGAGGTAATTTCAATCTGCCATCTTTAACCATACGTCACTAGCTTGTCTTTTCTGTTGGAGAGCCCTCGATGTCATATTTTGTAGGTAGTTTTTTTCTTGATCTGGTCAGATTTCCTAGGAAAGACTCTTCCCAATCTCCTGCCTGGCGGGTGTAAGCCTGGCTACCAATATAATGAGAGATGAATATTCCCTAAAGATCACTGTTCTCTTAGATGCCTCCAGCTTGATTTTAGGTTATTAGGTCAATCAATGTATTGTATAAAATTTTTAAGTTACAGCTCATAATTAACCTGTATTAAGTCACACATAGGTGAGATAGTAAGATTGAGTGTCCAACATTTAAAAAGTTTAAATTTGTAGCTTGAAGCCACTAAATTCTAATTCATCATAGATGTCCAGAAGAGAAGCTGCAGATCAAAGATACCCTCTGAAGACACTGTTTACTTAATGTCTCTCATCATATCCTCATATTCTGCTAGCTCAGATTTACATTTAAAATAACTACTGTTAAAAATTATTTTTGCATTTTTTTTTTGGTTTTCACAAGGAGAATGTTAAAAACTTTAATGTATTTTTGACACAATTGATAGGAGCTAATTTAAATGATATTTTTGTTGTTGCTTTTTTAGCAAATTAGTGGGAAGCTTAATATTTTTTAACCTTCTATTTTCTCCCCAATTTTCAGCCCCAGGACACTTCATTATTCACAATGCAGATAGACCAGAATATGATCAGTAACTTGGTAAGTCAGTTTTAATTTGTGTCTTTGAGAAGTTGATAGTTACTGCTAACTGTTCTAAGGTTGATGATTCTAGGTTATCCAGAGCTTAAATATCCAGAATGTGGTTTCTGCAGCCCCCCTTTTTTCTAGCAAATAGAAAGGAAAGCTTCTGACAAATCTCAATGTGACTTTGAATGGTTGTTTCTATTTATAAAGGCACAGTGATAACAGCCAAAACCAAAGTTTCCTAATTGTGGGCTTTAGTAGAACACACTAAATCCATCAAGTACGTGGATGTTTGTTTCTATGTGACTATAACTTAAGCTACAGGATTGAAAATCAAATTGCTGCAAGAATTCATGTTTCAAAAAAGATCCTTGCATTTTCTTGAACTAGAAGCTACCTCATTTCTCATCTTCTCCCTTCTTTTTTGTGAGTTGCAGAAACAAATAACGCATTGTAGAGATGTGATTCCTACTTTGATGAGAGACGAGACGAGAGAAGAGCTTAGTTAGAGAGTCAGTAGAAAGCAGTTACCCTTGATGTTAGAAGTGACTCCTATAAGATAAATGTTGCAGTTATCATGGGAAACCTTTCTAGCAGCAGCTTACTAGTAAAGTTGTGTGAAGATACCTCAAGTGATGACACTTGTGAGCTTGTCAGTGATATACTACAGAGGATTTTGGCTCTTTGAGGATTAGTGCACAAGGATTATTTGTAGCTCACTGGTTTTCCCATGGAAATGGTGTATAATTATCCCAGCTCTTGGCTTTTACAGTGGAAGTGTAGAATTGCTTTTAAGTAGAATGATTTTTTCTTTTTGGATGATTACACTTCTAAGTAAGGAATTCTGAGAAGTTTGTCTTACAGGTTAATTTGATATTTTTCAAAGGTAAGTGTGCCTCTAATACCTTGTCATAGGTTGTCATACTTTTGCCTTTTGGGTAACCAAATGAAAGATGGAGTCTCTGTGGCCTTCAAATAAAGATATAAATGTTTAAAACACGAATTAATATTGGTGTCAATAATGGAGCCAGAGAAGCTCGTGTTTTATGTTCATTGGTGAGTCTCAGCCTGGGTAATGATGGAATAAGGGTTATACTGATGCTGGACGCTGAGATTTTTAATTGTCAATTGTGAATGGGTGAAGATAAATGGAGAAATACTGGTATAAAGGAAAGAAAATGGGTCATAATTAAACTCACACCTATTACTTTGATGCAAAAGTCCAGGCATAGAATCCAGTGTTTTTAAGTTCCTCTGAACATCTCTCTAGCCCCCATACCTGGTTCGAAGAGCTTCCATTGTCTGCCCTTCCCTTCTCTTGGTATTTAGTCTTTAAAGCAGACATCTGACACCTCTTTCCACTGGGGAACTTAGCTTCATCATGCCTAGCATCGCATCTGCTTTGGCATTGGCTTTCCCTGTGGGGATCAAGGAAATCAGAGTGAACATACATCTCCTGGTGAGTTGTGATTATGCAGTATCTATCCCGGAGCAAGACAGTTTCCCAACCTCTGGTCATTGACTGTTCTCAGTGAGGTAGAAGTTGAAGATGTTAATCAGCTTCCCAGACTACATTTCATAGCCTCACAGCATGTTCCTTGAGTACAGATTTAAACCTTTTGAATCTGCCAGCTTTGCTCAGGGCTCGGAGTTACCTCTATGGCCCTTTGCATTTCTCACCAAATTAGCTCTCCTAAGATTGGAGAAGCAGGACTGTAAGGCAAATGTCATATTGGACTTTTAGCCCCATTCTCTTGATCCATCTCCTCTGATTGACCTAGTTTCCATCTACTCATAGAGGATACCGGAAAGTGTGGGCCAACTTTACACTAGTTGTTTTGTTCTAAACAAAGAATTCCATTTCTGAGTCTCTTGAGTTAAACCATTGTGGCATCCTGCTGCCACTAATAAATGTAGAATATCGCTCTCTTCTAATGTAGAATGATCGCTACTCCAGCAAACCATAGGAAATCATCCCCAGTGCTCCTAAATGGGTATGGCAAGGTACCAGCCCATTTGCAATGTCGGTCAGGGGAGGCATCTTACAGAAAAAGGGTGGTTGAAGCAGGGCACAGTTCTGACAGGACTATTTTAGCTCTTTCCATGAGATGTCATTCACAATTTACCTTTGTTTTTCTTTATATCTGGACAAAAGAATTACAATTTTATACTATCTTAGAAGGAACTGAAGGTGACTTCTTTGTCCAAATTTAAGTAGCTGATTGTACATAGAGTCATGCTGTCATGTTTCATCCTTACTCATCATTCAGTGAGTTACATTTATCCCCCTGGAATTTAAGGTGTGAAGTTGTAATGCTATATTGTAACATTGGGTGTGATGTTATGATATAGGGGAAAATGTAGTGACTTATGGGGACATAGCTGATCCTACCTCCTCATCATACTGTGTCTCTATTGCACTGTCTGATTTCAGCAAGCAAATGCAATTCGATTCATTTATGAAATCACCCCACTTAATTCTTGCCTTATGTAAAATATCAGAATTTCTTAGGACTTCCAAGAAACCCAGATCCTGATAAAAATAGTTTCTTTCATTTTAAGCTATCTTTTACTTTTTTTTTTTTTTAAGATTTTTATTGGGAAATTGGGGGGATCGGAACAGTGCTGGGGAATTGGGGGAAGGGGAACAGACAAGTTGCGTTGTTTTGTTCTTCA